TTATCTCCATTTTCTTTTACATCTCTTTCTTTGAATACTAGTCAACTCCTGGGAAAGAGAAGGGACAAAGAAAATCAGGTCCTTCCCAAGTTTGATGATCAATAGCCTGAGCCTTTTCCTTGTCAGACTTTCCTCAAAGCATTTGGTAATGCATATTGAAAGTCCAAGAATCCTAACATTCTTTGGGCTTATCCTTTACCACATACTCAGGGAAATTTGAACACAGAATACCTGGCAATTCATTTTTTATGTGGCTAAACAGAAAATAAGGTGGAACAAATGGTGGTAAATTCAGAACTTTTGAAAACTCAAATATCCCCAGACTGGGACTCTTTACTAAGAATCTTTCCTCTGTGTTGAGTGTGTTTACACATGTGCACATGCATGGGCATGTGCTCTTTTCAGCTGATACAATTTAAAAAAAAAAAAAAAAGCATTTTCAGAGTAAGGAAGACGAGGAATCCAGAATAAAAGTTATCCATCCCTTTTCTGTTTAAGTAGAATAACCCCCTAACTTATCTTAAATGAGTAGACATCTCCACTGTGCTAAAAGCTCTCTAGGCAATAAGATTTTACAAACTTTCCTACTTACCCACTCCTGGTCATTGCCAAAGTTCACCCCAAATGCTCTCGCACACTGCTGACAGGAGGAAAGGTCAATGAAACCTCTCAGAAAAATGATTTGGGGGAAAAAGTGTACTAAGAGTCTTAAGGATATCATCCTCTTTGATCCTGTAACTTTGCTTCTACAGCTGTATCCTAAGAAAATACAAAAAAGACTAACGAGATGGAAGAGATATGTACATTTTGAATCCATTTTTGAATACAAGCAAATAATTAACAATGTATTAAAATTGGTTTATGCAAATACAAATAATAGAATATTATGCAGATCCCGTAGTGTAGCTATATATAACATATAGGTAATATATATAATACAGAAATTATAGATGTGTGTATATAAAATGCAGAGGGGACACCTGGGTGGCTCAGTTGGTTAAGCATCCAACTCTTGATTTCTGCTCAGGTCATGATCTCACGGTTTTTGGGTTCGAGCCCCGCGTCAGGTTCTGTGCTGACAGCTCAGAGCCTGGAGACTGTTTTGGATTCTGTGACTCCCTCTCTCTCTCTCTGCCCCTCCCCTGCTCATGCTCTGTCTCTCTCTGTCTCTCAAAAAATAAACGTTAAAAAAAATTTTTTTTAATAAATAAATAAAATGCAGAGATAGATAAATATAAATAGGTCAATCACATACACACAATGTTAAATGTTAAAATGATGCGTTTTCTGTCTCATTTTTGGCTGAGGCCCTAAGCAACAGAGAACAGAATAATGTGGAGCAAGGATTCCCACCTACCAAAGACAGTAGACAGCTCCGGAAAGGAGCAGTTCACATTCCCGAAGGAAGGCTTCAACTAGTAGGAGATGAAAATCAATGGATAAATGTCCCAGCCTCCTAGCATCGGGAGGGACAATTCTAAGGTAACTTTCCTGTAGTTTCTTGGAGGGTCTCCAGTGGGACTAAACTTCAGTTGCCCTGGACAGTCATCAGCTCAGTAACACACTCTATTCTCTCCCTTCCCAGGCTCACACCCTATTCCCCCATTCCTGTTTCCTAGAATCTACTTCATAACACACAACCTGTTCTCAGGTCCTTATCTCAGGCTCTACTGGAGGATGAGTAAAATTAAGTCACTCCCAAAATGTAATATCCTCTGGAGGTCAGGTTTTGTAGCTATCAAAAACTCAGGAAGGAATCTATCTTCAGAGGGTTTTTGTTTCGTCCCCCAGCTGAAGCAAGGCCACAAAATGAAAGTGTGGCTTTCTGATTCAAACAAGGGAGAGGAAAAGCTCAGAGGATATACACAAACTCATAATTCAGTGAATTATCCTGTCACAACATTGTCATCATTGCTGCCATTATTACCGTCAAATGCCAAAGGCACAGAAGGCAGACAGCGTCCCAGCTGGGTAGGGAGTCACATCACCGGAAAAGACTCGTGGGGCTAGGTCCAGTTTCAGGCGGTTCCTCTCCCTAACACAATTACGCGGACTCTCCAGCTATTTGGAAGGGGGGCTGTGTTTTAGAGACCATAGTGCTATAACCCACCGAAATGTCGTGCTAAGCGCCAGGGACGGGAGGACTCTGTTTTATTCCGAGTCTCTCATTCCCATATGGAACCCAAGGCACATCTAGACAGACAGCTGGATCTCTTCTCCTTTTTCCTCCTGGATTTAAAACTATGTTTCAAGCAAAAGTAGGGATTTGGAGGCCAGGAATAAATTGGCTCTAATAATGTGTAGTCCATGGGATCTGTATAGAGAGCCAAAGGAGAGCAAGCTACCTATACACAATCCCAGACTCTTACCCCCGGCTCCCCTGCCTACAATGGCAAACTGGCCCCTGGACTACTTGATAAATGTGGGCAAGAGGGAAGTGGCACCTACAGGGTCAGTAGTGGTAGATTCCAAAGGTTTAGGATTGAGGTTACAAAGTCAATGTCTTCAGGGTTCATGCCAATAATATTAGTAAAAGGGAACCAAGCAGAGATTGGTGGAGACAACGGTGAAATGCCCCATCTAAACGGTATTTCTAAACTCTAGTCAATTGGGATGCAGTGTTGCTAGACAAATTTTTAAGAGCAACCAAGGAGTCAAAAATCCAGATTGTGTATGAAAGTCATAGGTTTCAGTGGTGGCAACTAGTTCGAATGTTTTTTGCTCACCCCATGTTGACCTGCATAGTCAAAACAGGTCTGTGGACTATAGTTGGCTCCTAAGCCATCAGGTGGACATACATTATGGGAGTGACATAATCTACTGTCATTGGAAAATGTATTGAAGTCGACATCAGACAGCATAGTAACAGACAACTATAAGATTTTGAAAGAGCGGAAAGAAGGGAAAAAGACTTTAGGATTGAATTATAAACAGGCAAAAGGGACTGCACTCAAATTCATAAACTTATGAACTTCAATTTTGGGCCAGTTTCAACATCTGCTATTATGAGGAATAAGGATAATGGCGGCTTTATGTAGCATTATGACCACATTGCATCATACAATGTCCTGATCCTATGACTAGCCAGTTAGCTTTCTTCTTCCCGTCACTGGCTTACCTGCCTGAGGAACAGCTGGTTTAGGACAAGCAGGTTCTGTGCCCTCACCCCACTCCCCCACACCGACTCCCACCCCTCAAAATTAACTCTTTTACAAGAAGACTACCACCGAGACAAGGAGAAAGATGGTCCATAAAGACATCCAGCAAAAGGTGAAGACTCATGAATAGAAACTACCACAAAGGGTGGAAAAGGAAGAGGAAGGCTGACCCTTAGACAAGACACAAAGAAAGAAGATCCTGGCCCCAGGCAGAACCAGAACAAGTCTCGAGGGGCTAGGAGAGTAGAAAAGACCACTCCATTATCTCTGCCTTCCTGTGATTTTGTCAAGTTAGTCCTTCCGTGTGTGTTTCAGTTGCAAAATTGAGATCACTGTTACAAGATCAGTGAAATAGTCAGCACAAGCTCTAGGTAAAGTCTTGGTGGAACGTGGCCATGGCCACTCACCGTGGCTGCTTTTGCCTGCAAAGACTAAAACGCCTACCAACCTGTCCACCACTTTCAAGGTCCCCCTCCAGTAGCCCTATCAGGTGCCATACCTGACAAAAGCTGCTGTGAGGTATAACGTGGGTCATGATTTTTTACTTCATACAGGGCTTTCACCAATAAATATTCAATGCCTTGGACACTAAGATTCAAAGTTCTCACACTTAATTTCAATCTTTGGGTGCCTGGGAGGAGGGCCTCCCGATGCCGTTACTTTGACTGTGGACTATCGGCTCTTACATAACACGCGTATGTGAACAAGGCCAAGTTCTATGTAAATGTGGCAAAAATGGTGAGTGTGATAGGGATGACTGGCACAGAATGAAGCAGGAAAGGCTACTGACCTCCTTTGTCTGTGCCTTCTCCCCAAGACTACACCAGTGTGTGCAAAGCATGTGACTACAACACATTACTACAAGATAGAGTCTAGCATTACCACATTCCCAGGATGCCTCTGCTCCTGGGCGCAGGGACACTCGCCATAAGGTCTTGAAACTACAATCTTCCCCCACTCCCACACTGAGAGCAAATGTGTCAACCAAGAACAAATCAACCATCATGGGAGAAACCCATGTTCCATTGGGAACAAGAAGCTCATCGATATCTAGAAAATTTGACAAAACCCAGGGGCCTACCTAAGTTGGCTGGACAACGGTTTCTGTATCTTTCACAGGAGAATTGGGTCGCAAACTTCTAGATCAGCTTTGGTCTGGCGGGCATATGATTTTTAAAGGTGGCAGAACTGTTGCACTTTAAGGGTAATGCGATAGGGGTAAGAGATGTCACACCTTTATGTGAATTATACAAGGTCCAGGTTCAATTACACAAGGGATTCCACACAGCTATCAGAATTATTTGACCCCAAAGGGTCCAAGACTACATTGTATCTATAGCACACGATCAGGAGAGGCTTGGGGATGTTGTCCTTTAAAAAGTCCCAAATACACAGATGCAGTCTAGGCCCATTTTATGTTTTCACCCTTTCTCATGTTTACAGTTCCTGGGCTCCGTGTTGACATGACCCGAGCTTGTTTCTAGAAAACGGGATATCTTTGGGTACCTTCATTACTAATTACCAACAAACAAAGCTAGAAGTATGAGCTGATGATCTGTTCTGCGTTTTCTGGTTGTTATACCTCAACCCAGCCAGTTAGAAGGTCTATCAAACCAAGTAAATTCTTTTCATATCCAGAAAATATCTCAACCTATTCCATACCGAAACCCAATCATATTTTATTAGCAAGTCTCTTACATGGGCACTACACATTTCCTCCCGACTCGCTTGATTATCCCTCTACCTGTTCTACCCCACTTAGCCTATTACATGAAAAAAGTCAGGGGTACTCCAGGTTACCATAGGTCACTGTTCAGCTAAGCAAAAACACACAAAACACCATTTGTCAGTGAAAGGAGAGAAATTTTACTTAAAAGACCCTGGGCAGAGAGGTAAAATCGAAGATGATTATGGTGTTCTGGGGCCCGCACCAAAAGAGGCTTTTCTTATTGCTGGCCATGGGAAAAACTGTGACGCCGAAAGTCATGGGTTCGAGCAGTGTCTTCAACCAGATCATTGGCATATGCTGCTGACTAAGGAGACAAGAATGAGAAAATGTAAGATTTACACTCAGGAAACCCATGTGTTTTTTATAGAAGGACCTCTTCAGCTCAGTTTCTCAGATTTCATCAGACATAAGGCCAGAGAGTATGAGAAACCCACCTTCAAGGGGCACCTGGGGTGGCTTAGTTGGTTAAGTGTCTGACTGCTGAGGTCAGCTCAGGTCATGATCTCACGGGTTCATGAGTTCGAGCCCCGCATTAGGCTCCATGCTGGTACACAGCCTATTTGGCTCTCTCTCTCTCTCTCTCTCTGCCCCTCCCCAACTAGCTCATGCTTTCTTTGTCTCTGTCTCTCTCTCTGTCTCTCTCTCTCTCTCTCAAAATAAACAAACCTTAAAAAAAAGAGAGAGAAAGAAAGAAACCCACCTTCAAAAAGGTAGGTCTAGGGGTTATGTCAACCTCTCTACTGAATGAAAAGATTTGAGGGAGGCTCTATCATAAAGAAGATGAGCAATGAACACAGAAATTCTGGCTTTTTGCAGGATTGGTGGGAAGCTGGGGGAGAGCTGGGTTTTTGTGGGTAGCAGAGAAGCCAGGGAAGAGTTGGAAGGCAGTCTCTGAAAGGCAAGTGGAGAGCTTTGCTTTGACAAAGGCATCACAGTTTGGAACACCTGCAAGCCAGGAGGACAGCTCTTCGGGTTTGCGAGGCCCCTTTGGATAATCAGAAAATGTCATCAATACCTTGTCTTCCTGATCTTTTTCTTCCATAACTTCTTTGCTTTCTGTCTCTGTAGTAAATCCTTCAGATGGCACGCTGAACACTTATATCTACAGGACTGCATCATCTTCTTATATTTCCCAATTCTGGCCAGCAGCAGGGATCTATCTGCTGCCCCCCTCCCCCACCCCAGGTCCCTTCATTCAAAGCAGCCCACCCATCACTCCTTTTATATACAGAGACAAGTGCCCATGACATGGGAGCTCCTGGCAAAAGGACCTGATGATTAATGATGCCTTGTCACAATGGCTGTGATTCAGCATAAGAGTTTGGTTGGGTGGTTTGGGAGTACTGAGACATCTGGGGAAAATCAACAAAGTACCTATTAGGACTGCTGGCTCATCAGCTGGCTGCTGATCAGTGTAGCCCATGGGAACCACCCTGGATGATACTAACCAAGTGAAATTGTCCTGGCCTTTCAGACCCAGCATCTTCAAAGCCTTTATTGGCTGGCACATTTACATGTGCATTCCTGGTCCCAATATCTTATTTTCAGAAAGAACTTTTACAGCAAGGATTTGAACTAATATGGGAATTTTTAAATGAATGCACCGAGGTAGAACTGACACAATAAACTCACATATTTTAAATGCAACAACAATTTTTTTAACGTTTATTCATTTTTGAGAGACAGAGATAGAGAGTGAAAGCAGGAGAGGGGCAGAGAGAGGGGGAAACACAGAATCTAAAGCAGGCTCCAGGCTCCAAGCTGTCAACACAGAGCCCCACGTAGGGCTCAGACTCACAAACTGTGAATCATGACCTGAGTGGAAGTCTGATGCCCAACCGACTGAGCCACCTAGGCACCCCAAATGTGATAGAAATTTGATAAGTTTTGACGTAGGTATACAACCATGAATCTTTCTACACAAATCAAGATAATAAGTACACCCTCCTGTCCCAAACGTTTCCCTGTGCCCCTTCCCTGCTCTCTTGGAAGGAAGGAAGGAAGGAAGGAAAGGAAGGAAGGAAGGAAGGAAGGAAGGAAGGAAGGAAGGAAGAGAGGAAGGAAGGGAGGAAGGAAGGAAGGGAGGAAGGGAGGGAGGGAG